GAAAAAAAGGGAAAAAAAATCGAGTACAAAACGGTCACCCATCCGAATGGATGACCGTTGCGCCCAGCCACGAGGGAGGTGATTAGTCGGATCCTAGTCCATTTGTGACTAACCCCTTCTGGTTTGCATGTCTTTTCTAGATCCGATTATTGTAGTGTATTTGGCGCGCGGGCTCCCTTGACTTTGAAACCTGTACAAGAGCGTTTCCTTGCATGAGTATACTGGACGCCTAAAGTATCTTGAAAATTTCAAAGAGCTTCAAATAACAAATTCACAGAAAACTGTGACTAAGTAAAAGCGGCTTTGAAAAAATCCGTCTTCCTGTTTGATCGTTTATTTGTAGTATTAGAAGCGTTTTTCTGTCTAACTTTATTAAATCGCTCCTTTGTTTGGTGGTAATATGAGAATCTCTTTTCGTGAAAAGCTTTTGCGGTCCCACATGGCAGCGCCGGTGACGGAGTACCTGGTAAAAGCTTACAATAGTTTGACAGTTTTCTTTTTGAAGAAATATTGAATATTTCCCTTTTCTGTACGAGAGCGTTTCCTTGCATGAGTATACTGGACGCCTAAAGCAGGGGTAACCAAATAAATCCACGAAGAACAGAAGATAGATTATCATTAAACATTAAAGGTTTGCTTTGTTTTTCTTTTATAAGGTGAGCACAACCTCGCTCAACGAAACGTTCCCCCTGAGTCGGAGCATTCTGTCATCGAGGTGCATTTTCACGAGCAATTCTTGCAGTTTCAGCCTCTAAATGACATCGCTCTCTTAAAGATATATCCAGCAGCCAACTTATCAGATGACGTTCAAACTATTCCTCTACCAAAACCTTTTTACAAAGTTCCAGACGGACTTAAATGCGTCGCAGAAGGTAATAACTTGTTTGGTTACTATTAACATGCCCGTTCAGGAGCGCATGGGTCGACCACCACCGTCAAAACGAACCTTGTGATTGATCGAGAACAAAGAATTGTAGGATTATATCAGACAATGCCTATTGTTCTACTCGACATCTGTGTTTTTTGTATTGCCTGTCTCTCTTTATTATTTCATCAAATAGGCGTATCAAGGATTTGCATCAGGGGAGGGGTACATGCAAAAGGGGTTGGGGGTTACCTATCACAAAAATACTCAAAAATATTGGGGATGTATTGTCCCCAGGCAACTATTTTTCCGGCCTCTCGCTCCCACTTTTCCTCTTTTGGCTCCCTGGACAGTAAGCTCATGATCCATGCTGAGGAAGATAAAGGATTCTCAACGCAGTGGAAATTAACAAGATACCGAGTGTACTGTATGGCGGGTGCCCTTCCTTTTTTTTCGAATAACGTTGAAGCAAAACAAATTGTCACAGAGATTCCATTGATAGCAACGGAAATGCCATTGGAAATGGGAATGCAATTGCTTCCATTATAGAATACATGTAGGTCTGCTAAAATCCTTACGCACTTATTTCATTGTATTTTTTTAGGATGGGGAGATACCGATGGTTCGGCACTAGGACGAGGCTCAAACGTACTACGTTACATTCAAATCCCTATAGTGAGCCACAGGACATGCCAGGCTAAAAACAGACCGTACAACATCAGCTTACATAAGAACATTTGCGCTGGCAGCGAGCTATCATTGGGCCGTGGTTGTCATGGTGACAGTGGTGGTGGATTGGCTTGTATGGATTCAAATGGTAGATATGTACTGCAAGGGATTCTAAGCTGGGGTGCAAGGTTCTGTTCCCCAAGATATTACTCGGTATTTACGAGAGTCAGCTCATATATTGATTGGATAGAGAGAAACATAAGCCCATTTACGACACTACCTCATACTGAGAGAGCCAACAATAAAACAATGATCGTGAAACTAGGCCGATTTACGCTAATCAAAGACTATTAAGCCTACAAGAGAAATTATCTCCTTGAAAAGGTTATTAACATGTTCTTGTAGATGGAGCATTAATTGTGAGTTTTCCTTCAAGGAAGAAACATTTTAAAGAAATACTCCGTTTAAGAAGGGACCAAATACATATTTCCAGAAGTGAATGTACCTTAAAAAAAGTCCAAATGCATTTTCAAAAGTGCGCGAATTTTTAAGAGGTACCATTATAGAATACCAAACTTATATCCAAAAGTGCTTGGCTTTAAAGTTTTAACCTCAAAAGATAATTGTCGTATAATTTCCTAACCTTTGATGCCATCAAACAAGCCAGCCGAGATAAAAACATATTTATTCTTACACAATATATGTTGCATGGTACAGCCAGTAAAAACCTTATTCATAATAATAAAAAATATTTACACTTATTCAATATTCTACATGTGGTCTATGTCTCAGTCTCCTTCCCAGCATCCCGTTTTTGCCGGGCTTCCTGTCCCTCAGAAAAGAAGACAGGAAGCCCAACAGAAGGTGAGTCTTCCAAAGGAGAAATAAACCACAAACGTCGAAATGGAATTATTTGAAACAAATTTTTTCAAGGAAAACMTCTTAAGTGGACTCTTCCTTTTAGTAAAAAAATATAATTGTCACTTCAAAGTAAATTTGCATGTGTATTAATCAATTACTGTGAAAAATAAATGATGCAAAATCTAATATATTACACATTCATTTCTACTTTTACTACGTATACTTGAAAAATGGTGTACCATTACGAATCAAATCCATGTAAACAGTGATTAAAATTTGTCCATCGAGTATAGATTCTGCATACTGTGCACTTCAATAACACTGGATACTTCTGTAAACATTCTAGTGTTATAAATATTATTTGATCATTCTTTTAAATTTCTAATGTTCACCAGCTAAATCCATTGACGTTTTTCTGTCCTTTATTTGATTTTCAATGTTGATGTAGTATCGAAGTTGAATGAGTTTATCTTTAGCATCACTGTAATTTCCTGAAAAAAATGTACATTTGTAATTATTTATAATCAAAATGATCTTTAATTTTAAGAAAATGACATACCATTTTCAAACAAATTGGCTAGTTCTTGCGTACATTCATTAATTTTTGCTGTTGGTGAAAATAACAATTTACAAATCAATGAATAATAGATACTACATGAGCAGCTATTGCCTCCTCTGGATTTATGGTTTTTCTTTCTTTGGGATCCCTTTATAGAAAGGGCATGGGACTGTTACTGATAGAGAAAATTTCTCATACTTATTCCATATGCCCCTCCTTCACATACAAGTTACCATCACAACACAGGGATCCCAAAGTAAGAGGGGGGAACAACAAAGGCTAATTGTGGCAATAGACAATAATGTTTAGTTGAATAATAACATTCTTTCTACACCTAAATGTACATCATACTGATTTCAAAACTTTTGGTGAACTTCAATTAATCTTTTCTGCTTACCTGTATTCCATGTTTCAATCTGCTTTATGTCTTCCAAGTTTTTTGCATCTTCCAAGCTTTCATTTATTTCCATAATTTCCATCAAAAACTCAGGACTTGATAAGGTATCAGTCTGCTCAACTGATATTCCATGTTGTTTAAGCTACAGTTCAATGTCAAAAGGATATTTTGTTCAAATGCATGAATCAAATAAACTTCCTTCAGAGCACAAGCAAATAAACTAACTAAACCAACAAGAAAGGGGGAAAAAGTGCAGAGTAAAGATCTAACAAAATAGGAAATTCCTGGGCAGTATTTTTTTTCCATTTGACAACCTTTGCTTGGTTGGTGATGTTCAAAAGGAGGATTTTAATGCCAGCAACGTACTTTTAAGTACGTTACAGGGATCTGGAGTCCACCAAATCTTCTGTTAATGATACATGTACTTACAAGATATTTGCCTCTGCTTAATGGCTTTAAGAGAGTATTATATGCTTTGTTGATTATCGATGAATGAAGAGCTGATAAATTCTGTTCTTCCTAAAGATGAATAATTGATAAATTTGGTTAAACTGATTGGCTGAATCATAACCAATGATGTAATCTAAAAAACACCAAGTAATTGATTGTCGTCTAATTAAATGAAAGAATGAATAAACAAATGAATGAATGAAAATATACTGAGAAGAATGAATGGAGTGAGAAGATAAAAAATGCAACAAAGGAGTGATACATAGGAGGGAATTATTATGCTCTATTATCATGACATCTGACTGTAGGACAAATACTTGGAAGAGATACTATTTGAAAAAAATGAAAGGCAGCTGCCAATCAAAGATGAGAATAATTAGTGCAATTTGTAAATCACAACAAAAAACAGTGTCAACTCACAGGTGTACACTTGCTGAATCTGTCAGGATGCAATCTGAACTGTAGATCTCTGTACATTTTTTGTAGCTGAGGTATGTCCACTAAGAACGTTTCTGGACTGTGAATTAAGTTAGCAATACAGTATAAACAGATTCGCACATTTGATACTCAGAATACGAATAATAAGAGGGGTAAATGCTTAATGTAAAATGTATTACAGAAACAACAAAATCATTAACAAACGTTTGATTATGTGGCTTGTTGTTTTCTTGGATATGACCCATATGACGTAACATTACAAATGATTTTACGCAAGATCCACAAAAAGTGTTGATTGCTTGCAAAATCAGAGTCAAAACTGTATAAACGAACCTGTCCATTATCTCGAAGTATGAAACATCTTCTCCAGGAGGCTGTATTATTTCACATGTTTTACAGAAAAACTCAGGATGGCCGTCAACATGCACCGCGTTGCACTTCCAACATCTTGTAAGGTGGCTTTGTTTACAGCACTCATTTGTACAGCCTGCCACAGACCTAGCACCAAGCAAGAGAGGTTTTCCGTGGTTAGCGTATTGTTTTAAAGTGGATCTGTTATTTCTCTCTGCAGATATCCGTAGGCAAATTCGGCTAGTAGCTCTTCTCAACGTGGACGCCATTTTGTTTATTTAGGTTTAGCCCGTGAGATATTAGGTCAGCAGCTTCTTGAAATTACCGCTGTACGCTAATATCGTTGTCGCATTAGTAAAATCAACATGGCTTCTCACGTGGAAGGTTTTCGTAGGAAAAGAAAAGCTGGAAAAGAGCCTGGAGGTCCACCACAAAAGGTAGCTTCTCCTTCAGTTACGTCTCAAGCACCAAGAGGTATAAATGTTGCTGAATTTGCTGAAGCAAGAGCCCTGGAGTTGCACAACATGATTCAGGAAATTAGCACGGCTGACAAGAAGGGAAGCAAAAGAGTTTTTCAAAGTTTGCCAAAACACATGAGAAGACGAGCTGCTAGTTACAATGTGAAGAGAATGCCTGTTAGGCTGCGGGAACTTGGAAAGAAGGAGGTGAACTAATAAAGTCGTGTGATAAACTGAATAATTTCTGTTAAAAACCAAGTGATTAAAAGCATGCTCTCGTTCCTTCCCAGCTGACCCACCAATTTTGCTCACTTAGTAACATTTTCTTTCAACAGGAAAAGAATCAAACTGACACCCCTAAGCAGAAGAAATCTCGTCGTCAAAGAAGAAAGCCAAAGTCTTTACTAAATGACTACAACAGACGCAAGAAGAACAATGTTTGGCTAGAAACACACATCTGGCATGCCAAGAGGATGAAAATGGTAAATGTATGGGGCTATAAGCTGGCTGAACATCCCAGTGACAAGAGTTTCCGAGCTTGTCACCGAGCTGTCAGTAACACATGCTTGTTACAGGTAAATAAAATATCAAATTTATTATTATGAATTGAAATCAACCCCTGAACTTTAATCATAACACAAGCTGTTGGTTTTATAGGACATCTCCTACTACTGTTGTATTGAAGTCAAGGGCAACAAGTGTGAAATCATATCAGCAATGAGTAAAATTACAAGAAAAGAACTAGGTATTATTTTTTTTTTTATTTTTACTAGTAAGCAATTGATCTGTATTTGTGTATTTCAATATGTTGCATCTTATTCAAAGCTTTTAACTCATTCTCAATATTCAATCCATAGTACAATTCTTTTTTTTTTACTTTTTATAAATTCTTTTTAATTTTTATTCTTTTTTTAATCACAATTCTATATAGAGTCTTAACATGAAATTCAAAATTGTCTTGTTATTTGAAATGGCAAAAAAAAATTCACAAATATGTACAATATAATAAGTACTTTGGGGTTCTTAAACTCAATCTTAGTTAACATCCATAGGTCCAACGATAGCTTCAATAGAATATATGAATACTGGGAAAGAAGGACATGTAATGCTCTATCATCCTGATCGATACCCCTATGGTGCAATTGGACCAGCATCATTTCTATGGCGACAGTTCTCTACAATTGAATGCAATTCTGATGAACCATTGTCCCAGCTATGGATCTGGGTACACGCATCTTGCTTTGACGAGGCTCTGAATGTCATTCAGAAAGTCTGTTCAAATGTGTCAATGAGTGAACTATCTGAACGTGCTTTAGATAATTGTAATGAAGAGGATAAAAGTGAAAAGTCAAGGAAGAACAGCACCATTGTTTCTTCGCTGCAGTTTGATTTGGCTCGTCTTCGTCTTACTGGGCCTTTAGCTCATGCTTTACTTGTGGACATGTTGGAAGTTATATGTGACAGAAATGTCCTAGCTAATGGAGAACAAAATGCAAAGGAAGCATCGACATTTCAGGACCTGAATGGAGTTTGTGAAAGCAATAATAATTCCAAGGAATCAAGCCATCAAAGTCACAGACAGGTTTGTATTAACTGTGTAATCAGTTTTACTGGCAGACCTTAGTGAGAATGAAACTAATTATAAAAAATAAAACATTTTTCATTCAGAAGCAGAAACTGTGGTGGTTATTGATAAGATAGTGTTATAAACGGATTAATGTTTTTGATTGGGTTAGAATGCAATTTTCTAATGTAAGATGTTTTTTTTTAATATTTCGATATTTTTATTATTGATTATTCAGTGTTAATCCTAAGTATTGAACTGATATCTTTGTCTAAGGATCAAAGTGATGATGAAGCTACTAAACTTTGGAAAGGGCTGAAATCAGTGTCCTATTCTTCTGCTCTTAAGCCTAACTGTACAATAGGACTAAGTGTCCAGGACCCTAGACTTGGCCTTCCTGGCAAAAGAACCGGTATTGATGCAACAGTTGTAGAGAAGAAGACTGGTATGTGTTCACAGATCAAAATATACATATAAAAACACATCATAAAGATGATTTTATTGATTTTTTCTAGGAGAAAGTGATGCCACTTTATCACATTTACTACATTCCAAGTGGCCATCAAGTGTTGCAGCATCATCTCTGTGGGATGCTGATATTCGAAACCATGTGAAAGAAACAAAAATGGATGATCATCAACTGAACAGCTTGCGATCAAACCTTCTGTTGTCGGGTACCAAATTAGAGCTGGGAACCAAGGAATCACATGTTCCTATACTGCTTATTCAACAACCAGGACAAAATGGTATGTTTGTTGATTATATATATATTTATTAGAACTATGATTGACTATAGTAAAAGTAAGCGCTTTGTGTAAGTAGTAAAAGACCTACCGGCCAGCTTGGTCTGAATTAATTCATTCGAACGTACACTTCATTTGAATATCGCTCACTCGGAATTGACTGACCTCGGGATAGCGCTCGGCCGGCATCCCCAATCCCCTTAGAGACGCTACGCTGACTATTGAATCCCTTGACCCCTTGAATCTCTCAGAGACACACGTGTATCCGTGAGCCTTTGCGCGATTTTTTTTCAGATACACAAATCCGGCATATTTGATTTTGAGAGAAGCAATAATTTCTTTGGGATCTTTTACAGGATATGGAGCTGGGTGGGACATAATTCTGCCAGCTGGATGGACAATGCCTTTTTGGATAGCTTTGGTGTATCGAGGAGCTCGCGTAGGGGGCCTACGAGAAAGCAGGAATTGTTCCCTGGAATCTGAGGTCCCTCATTTCCCACATGACGTTCCTGATACGCAAGCTGGCAAAAACTACAACAACGAAATCCAGAATGAAGGTGAAACTAAGTATTCACGGTACCCCCCTGACAAACGACCTAACTATGAAAAGCTTGGTATTTCTTCACCGTTCTCCAATCCATGGAATAAACTAGTGAACGAGTGGTCTGTTGAATCTAGGAAAATATTGGAAAACAGCGAATCAACTACGACCAACCTTGCTTCAGCAACGAATGACTCCGTGTCACGTCCGAACGATACCAAATCTTCTCGGAACAATTTTGAATCTCTTTCAATTAACAATGATTCCGGTGATAAGCAAGATGAATTTTTTTATGTTTTACGCGATGTATCAAAAGTTAGTCATCTGCGAAACATGTTCAAAGAACCAAGTGCTAAAAACAAGCGAACACATTGCACTGAAGATAACTTCAATTTGAATCATCTTACTAGCATCATAGACAATAGCAGAAATGCTTTGGTTGCGGTGTCGCTGCGCATGGTAAATCAAGGGTTTCCGCTGCCCATTGCAACCATATCTATTCCAAGTGCATCCGACTTAAAAGAACTAGAAAAGTGCAAGAAGTACGGGGGTCCAACGGAGCCTTTGCATAAGGGACCAAAACGTCAATTCATTTCAAAAGTGAGTAATGTTAACACTCTCATTGGCTGTTGCACTCGAGACGTCATAGGATTTTTGACGTCAGGACAGTACTCGTTGTCACGTGGTTATGGTGTTGGCATTGGATATTGTGCCCTGCCTGGGTTGGCACGATTGTTGTTAACAGGACTACAGGGAATAGTACTTGTTCGCAATACGTTAAGCCAACAGTATAGATTTGCTTATCTGTCTATTATTTGACCTCCTTGTATAGTTGCAAATACTGTAAGACTGCAGTCGCTATCAAAAAGATAAGAAGGTTATAAATACTCTTGACATTTCTCTCTCTTTCACTTTAAACAGAGACTTTGCCTATATGGATTCTAAACACTCCCTTTCCTGTGGCTTCATGGGCGTTTAGAAAGGAATTATATATTGTAAAGGTTACACGTTTGTGAGGCTAAAAGCAGAAATATATTTTTATGTGAACACGTGATTTTCATATAGAGTTATATTTTCTATAAATTCGAGGGAAAAAAATCGAGCACAAATAAAGCAGAAAAACAATGGATGAAAAAAAAAATCCCACAAAAGAACGTTCAAAACCCTCCCCTCAAAAATCTAATGACCTTTCCCTAACTGTTAAATGGTCATGACATTGTCTGGGATAGCGAATACAATTTGCGAATGTCAGTCGTGATATGCACAAAAGAATCTAAAGGTCCTGTTATTTGGTGTCTAAGATGATGGCGGCCATTGCATCCAATCAGACGTCCACTTTTTAGTCCTCTCACGTTAAATCGACTCTAAAAGCATGTCTTGGATAAATCAGATAAACTAGAAATCAAGCACGAAATTCTCCAAGTTCTCATATTTTTGATTGAACATAAATCATCTAAGGCCACCTCTGAGAACCTTTTAAGTCGTTTGTTTTCGTTTTAAAAATGATCTTTTCTTGGCATTTGCTTTTTGATCAGTGGAAGACTGATTTTTCGTGTGTATACTAATCGCGTTTCTTTTTTATTATCTTTGTTACATATTTAGTGGCTAATTAACTGGGGAGAAGTGGGGGGCTCATGCAGCTTAAATTAGGAAAGTCAAAACGTTTGGAGCACTTTACCGACCACTTAACGGCTATAATCATGATGAAGATACATAGCACCTGTCCATTCCCAAATTTGAATTTCAATTGAAGCTTTGTATAGTCTTAATTTCAAAAATTGAAACCAGATCTAAACTAAAGAATTATATCACACATTATTTCTTGATTATTTGTTTCACAAATAGCTAATAATAGTTCCATTGTCAAGATTTTATTGTATTTTGTTGCATGGAAGTTAGTTGTGTTTTGTTTTCAGCCGGGCCTAATCAGCAACAATACAGAGATGATCCCATGTTCTAAGTGCCTTAAATTCAGTTACATTGTTCTAAGATTATAATATTTCAAATGACCGGAGATTACAGTATTTTATCTATATTCCTGACTTTTAAATGGATTTTATAGAAATATTTAAATACAAAGTGTTAAAACCTTCTATACCAATTACTAATCCCACAAACACATAAAGGTCCAACTTTGCTCCAATTAAGCCGATTATCATGCAAATGCTAGCGTATAAGTGATGCTGAATCGATCCAGCAATTCATTGTTGTAGCAAAGAACTTCCCAGCTCAAATTTATCAAACCACTGCAAGCAACTCTTGGACATGATTCTTGTCTTGCTGACACTGGCTGCTGTAGCCAATGGTTTGCCAGGTTAGTGTTATATGTTCACTTAATATTCCTTGACTTGTATGGTGTTTTTGTCGAATCGTCCAGAGCATATTCTGTCTATTCTGTTTCTTTTATTTCATTTCTGTTGCGCGGATTATTTCATATATCATCAACCCATGCAACATCGCAACAAGAACAACGTCGCACTAATGGCCAAATAACTGCTAAGGAGGTGCCACTTTGGGCGAATTTTGCGCTTGTAGAAATATTTACAGATTTCTAATTATTCAATACACTTCTTCGGCAAGCGCACGTCAGTTAGCTAAACTAGCCCTATTTGCACTCTCTTTTGGACTCAAAAGAAAAAAAGAATGTTTCGAATCGACCGAAATACCGAGTCGGACGAAAAACGAGTGTGGAGCTTGTATCGGGCCTGAAATCATGCACTTCGTGAATTCAAATGTCGAACTTTTGAATTTCAAGTTTGTGTTTCTTGTATAACCTCCATGTTAAACTTGCACTGTACAAAGGGATACGGTGTCAATATCATAACTTTGTAAACACACAAGCCTACAAAAAAAGACTACTGAGTCATCGTCTTGAATTGCTTCTAATTTCCGTTTTTAACTTTAGACTGCCCCGCTGACTATAAAGACATGGGAGGATGTAATGATTGGGAGGCATTGGGATTTTGCAGTCCCAGCAGTGTTTACAATGCCTTTATGGAATCTAACTGTAAAGCAGCTTGTGGATTATGCAAAGGTAACAAAAGTACAACATACGGAAATGCATTTTAGAATTTTATAAATCAGAAGTGCAAAATTTCCACTTTTTCTCTGTTTAGCTGCACCTCCTCCACCACCACAGATTGTAGACGGTAAGTGCTGTGAACCAATTTATCTTTTTTTTTTCCCTTTTTATTGAAATTCAATGCAGAAAATAATTCATTCTTTTGCACGAAAACAGAAATAGAACGACCAAATAAGCCATCATTACCCAATCAGTCATTTAAAGGCGCTTGGCATTCGAGAACATTTGCCGCGCGATTTTCGCCCATACGAAAAAATCGCCACTCCTTAGTTACACAATCCTTACTTACTTTCCGGTCTTATTTCTACTCTTGGGCTTCCTATCCTCTCAAATATGACCGAGAAAGGCTGTGACCCGGCAAAAAAATAGAAGAGGAGACCACTTCATTTCTGAGAGGTCCAAGGCCCCTACTCGGCCAAGGGGATCATTGAGGGATCCCAAAAAAAGCAAAATGAAGTGTTGTCCTTTGGTGGAGTTTAGCCGCTACTTTCGGTATCGAGTTCAACCTTTTTTTTCTATTGTAACCCCTCTCACATGAATTCTATTTGAAATAAATGAATATCATTCGTTTTTCTATCAGTGGACATAAATGCTTGTCTTGATGCCCACAATGCCAAGCGCCGTTTACATGGCGTACCAGGCCTCACATGGGACGCCGCCTTAGCCGCTGGAGCAGCAGACTGGGCACTCATCCTTGCAAGGAATGGCACCTTTGAACACAGTTATGGTAATTATGGCGAGAACTTGTATTCAATGTACGGAAGTAAAGAAGGAACATGTGAACAAGGTGTCAAAAGTTGGTAAGTTTTAATTACATTGAATCTTCACAGCCATTATTCTGATTAATAAGAGTAGCTTTGACACGAAAAGTATGAGATTCGAAGCCTCTTTTATGCGGGCTTGGTGCGTTATTAAGTGTTGTTTTTGTCTCCTTTGTGCATAAATTGCTGTACGTTTAGTGTATTTACCTTCAAAGGTACAACGAGATCTATTTCTACGATTACAACAATCCAGGATTCCATTCCAGCACGGGACACTTCACTCAGGTATTAAACCGGTGACAAAACTAAACAATTCTGATATTGATTAATTAGACATGATCTGATTGGATAAATGTTCTGTCAGTTCTGTCGCTATATTTGGTGTTACTTTTCAGAACTTTTATGTGATTGGTCAGGCTTTCTTCCATTAAAATGCGCATGTGTGTGCAAGTAGTCCCGTTTATGTGACATTTAATTCTATTTTAAGGTTGTCTGGAAGTCCACCACCAAACTGGGCGTTGGAAAAGCAACAGCGACAGTAGATGGTTATACAAGGACTGTTGTAGTGGCCCGATATACTCCTGCTGGCAATGTACGAGGTCAATTCCAAGAAAACGTACTACCTCTTCAACATTTGCACTATTAAAGTGAAGTCTTCAATCAGTGTTATAATATCTAATAAATCAAGTATACATAAAAAAGTTTCCATGTGTCTGTTTTGACAGGGTCTGAATGGGGGTCTCGATGTCGGTTGTGTCAGTTAAAATTTCGAGCATTTGTCGGTAGTCGGTTATTTTAAAAAAAATATAAACATTAAAGGGACACTGTCAATGGATGACATGCGCGAGTAAACTTGAAAACATTAGGCTAGTGTTTTCAAGTTTATGACTCCAAGTTGGCGCGACATAAATCAGATCGTAAACGTAAACAGATCTAGAATATTCCAAAGTGTGTCAAAAGCACCACAAAATGATTTACCTCGAAGGTTATACTTTCAAAGTCCGTTAGAGGTGAGACTGTTACTGCGCATGTCATCCATTGACAGTGTCCCTTTAA